CGATCCCCCTGTAGACTTTACGAGCAGATTGTAGTCGGTAGTGTGGTAAAGGTCATGTATAGGGCGGGGTGGGGGGAAGGGAGGTAGGTTTAAGTCTTAAGGGAACCGTCACTAAAGTTCAAGGCTGGCTGCTGGATGACTCATGACCACACCAACATATAACTTAACCTAACTTCCCCTGACCTAATACAATTTAACCTAACTTAACTCTGACTATAATTTACCTCCTGATTTAACCTAGCGTATCCTGTATTAGCTCCTGTCTAACAGACAGTAATGGTTATATAAATATGGGCTGCAAACATTGTTTATGTAATTACATCTCCTACGGTAATTAAACATGAGCAAGTGTCTAGTAAATACTGTCTAGTAAATACTTTCTAATACTGAAGCAAGTGATGTACAGTATGTCACGTAACCTCACTATCTTTTAAATGACCTCGGCGCACCTCTGTCCAGCAGGGTCATCAGGTTATTCGCTGGTTACTTCAGTCATCGCAAGTCTCTCAGACACACCACATGTGTGTTCACGATGCTCGTTATAACTCGCTTCAGCTACACTAACACTCATAGTGTTAGTTACATTGATATCTTACATTAACTGTGCATAGAATATTTTCTTAATAAAAGGAGAAAAGACAATTGGTGTTTTTGTGTTTGCATACTTAGCCCAAAACATTTATTGTATGTATTTTTATATTAACAACAAAACTGTAACTCCTGGACCATTCTAACCCCAGGATCATTCTAACCCCAGGACCATTCTAACCCCAGGATCATTCTAACCCCTGGACCATTCTAACCCCTGGACCATTCTAACTCCTGGACCATTCTAACCCCTGGACCATTCTAACCCCTGGACCATTCTAACCCCTGGACCATTCTAACCCCTGGACCATTCTCTAACCCCTGGACCATTCTAAATCCCAGGACCATTCTAACCCCAGGACCCAGGACCATTCTAACCCCTGGACCATTCTAACCCTGGGTAACCCAGGACCATTCTAACCCCTGGACCATTTCTAACCCCTGGACCATTCTAACCCCAGGAATTCCCCTGGACCATTCTAACCCCAGGACCATTCTAACCCTGGACCATTCTAACCCCAGGACCATTCTAACCCCAGGACCATTCTAACCCCTGACCATTCTAATCCCAGGACCATTCTAACCCCAGGACCATTCTAACCCCTGGACCATTCTAACCCCAGGACCATTCTAACCCCTGGACCATTCTAACCCCAGAACCATTCTAACCCCAGGACCATTCTAACCCCAGGACCATTCTAACCCCAGGACCATTCTAACCCCTGGACCATTCTAACCCCTGGACCATTCTAATCCCAGGACCATTCCTAACCCCTGGACCATTCTAACCCCTGGACCATTCTAATCCCAGGACCATTCTAACCCCTGGACCATTCCTAACCCCTGGACCCCTGGAAACCCCAGGACCATTCTAATCCCAGGACCATTCTAACCCCTGGACCATTCTAACCCCCCCTAATCCCAGGACCATTCTAACCCTGGACCATCTAACCCTGGACCACCCCTGGACCATTCTAACCCCTGGACCACTCTAACCCCTGGACCATTCTAACCCCTGGACCAGTCTAAACCCTGGACCATTCTAACCCTGGACCATTCTAACCCCTGACCGCCCTGGACCATTCTAACCCCTGGACCATTCTAACCCCTGGACAGTCTAAGTCTAACCCTGGACCATTCTAACCCCTGGGACCATTCTAACCCTGGACCCTGGACCATTCTAACCCCTGGACCATTCTAACCCTAACCCCTGGACCAGTCTAACCCCTGGACCATTCTAACCCCCTGGACCATTCTAACCCCTGGACCAGTCTAACCCTGGACCATTCTAACCCCTGGACCATTCTAACCCCTGACCAGTCTAACCCCTGGACCATTCTAACCCTGGACCATTCTAACCCCTTCTAACCCCTGGACCAGTCTAACCCCTGGACCATTCTAACCCCAGGACCATTCTAACCCCTGGACCAGTCTAACCCCTGGACCAGTCTAACCCCTGGACCATTCTAACCCCTGGACCAGTCTAACCCCTGGACCATTCTAACCCCTGGACCATTCTAACTCCTGGACCATTCTAACCCCTGGACCATTCTAACCCCTGGACCATTCTAACTCCTGGACCATTCTAACCCCAGGACCATTCTAACCCCTGGACCATTCTAACCCCTGGACCATTCTAACCCCTATACCATTCTAACCCCAGGAACATTCTAATCCCAGGACCATTCTAACCCCAGGACCATTCTAAACCCAGGACCATTCATCAGTGATTACAATGGGTAATTAGACGTTACAATCCAAATTCAATCTGGTTTAACTTAACCAACCAGCGTCGGATTTAGGCTTGTGGGAGCCCTATGCAGTTCAGACAGAAAAACTAACAGCCAACCAGTGACATAATAAAAATATACCTAAATATATAGCTTTTTATATTTTCTTATTTTCCTTTCTACATTTTAAGTTGGGTGCCTGAAAAAAATGTGGGGTCCTAATTCTGTCACTGTAACTAACTCTAACTTCCCGTAACCTAACCTAACGTACAATAAGTTAATCTGACCTATTATTATTATTATTAAACTCCTCGTACCTGGGCTCTACTGTACCTAAAGAACGTTGATATAGATTTGCCATAAATTTTTAATATTTACATCATGCATACAGTCAAGACTTCTCGTGGCCACATTAACAACAAATTGTCCCCCTTTTTTGTGTGTTTTAGTTTTATCGACAACAGACCCATGCTCGTTTCAAAACTTGCCATGTGTGTTTTAAATTAATTATGTATTATGTCTTGACGTTACAAACCAACACGAAATGTTTCGATATAAAGAAATGTATCCGCCACAGTTACAATACACCAATACGGCATCTTCGTGGTGTAGATTAATACAGTATAACCTTTTTTTTCTCTATATTTACAATTTCTTTCCGTTCTTTTTTTTTTCTCGTCTCCCAGGCTCCGTTGTGGGCCGTTTGACCTGTACCCGGGTGGACTAATTCCCGTAAAAAAAAAAAAATTGTAAAGTACCTTAGCTCCCCTTTTGTATGTGTTCGGGCGGCCATATTGGATCGTGGGTGAAAATGTAACGAGCACGTTGACTGGTGAAGAAATGGCGCTACATAACGCATATCGACCAATCACAATCAATTTTGTAAACACCCTCGGCATAACTTCTTGGTCATTGGCTATACAAAGTTACTACAGTACAGTAATTACGACCTGAACAGAATGGTGATATATTAAAAAAAAACAGAAATAAGAGAAGAAACAGAAGAAGAATGAGAAAATTTTTTAAGAACTTGAAAACGGAGCGAATTGTTTTGTTGTTTTCCAATTAAATACAAACAATTAACGTGAGGCAAACAAACAAATAATATATTACAGTTTAAGTCAAAGTGGTAATATAAAATAAGTTCTATATTCTTCGTCTCGTCCTTCACCAGACCAGAGAATGAGGAAACCACTACGAACTATTATATACTACAGTGAATTGACTGATTGTGACTGATTGATTGTGATTGATTGATTGTGATTGATTGATTGTGATTGATTGATTGTGATTGATTGATTGATTGTGATTGATTGATTGATTGATTGATTGGTGAGGTAATTACATCCCTGGCGACGCAACAGCTTAGGTTATATTTCACTTGTTGACAATTTCTAATAGAATAAGTGGATCACCTAAGGATTAGACACCCCAGATTAATTAACCGCATGATTAACTGCCCTAAAGAGGTCAGGTCAGGTCTGGTCAGGTCAGGTCAGGTCAGGTCAGGTTAGGTTAGGTTTGGATTGGTTTGGTTTGAGAGAGGTTAGTTTGGCTTAGGTTAGGGTTAGGTTACGGTAGATTAGGTTAGGATAGGTTTAAATAACTCTAGGGTGGTTATTCTTCAAGTGATCCAAATAAATTATAAACGATGTTCAAATTTTCCTATTTTCTTTTGTTAGTGAACAATTCATCTATGACATAGTGTTAAAAGTTCAATATATTCACTGTTGACGAAGTGATGGCAACACTCGCTTGACGTCACGGCTCTACTGAGTTATGGTTTCCACTTGACGTCATGGCTTTGCTCTGACATCATGATTCTGCTCTGACGTCATGATTCTGCTCTGACGTCATGATTCTGCCCTGACGTCATAATTCTGCTCTTACGTCATGATCTAGCTCTGACGTCATGATTCTGCCCTGACGTTATAATTCTGCTCTGACGTCATAATTCCGCTCTGACGTCATGATTTTCCAAGACGTCATGACACCACTCTCGTCATATTTCTCATCGGTAAACCATAGCTGAAGTCACGCTGCACTCTTAGAATATTCACACCCAACCTTGGTTATTGAACACTACCGGGATACTGCTATTATTCTTTATGATGTTTTGTGTTGTGTCCGTCCAGGTTATGATAATTGCCAACAGCGTTATACCCCGGTGATGGAGCTGGTGATAGCTGATATCTAGCTGACTGTGCGGGGAAAATAGCTTGATATTTAATAAGAGGAATCGTCATGCATATTAACATTGATTCAACAAACAGAGCAATTGTACATTGACGGTGCAGGTATACAGTGTACATTGACGGTGTAGGTATACAGTGTACATTGACGGTCATATCTAAAGAAAAAACTGACAAATAACATCAATTAATTATTAAACATTCCGAAAACTACACTACCGATGATTTTTTTTTTTCGTAATCCTTGCCTGAACTACCACTTAATTAATATTACTTTAGTAACATTTTGATTAATCGAATTAATTGTCGCTTCTTCAATAATGTTTAAGTTTATAATAATACACTCATGTACGGTTAATACTATGAGTATACATTACGAGTATACATGTTAAAAGGCAAACACATATATTGTTAAAACTACATTATACCTCAGACGCTGGCCGCTTGACTACGGTGTCAGTACATTAATGTGTCTTTTATTGTGCTGCAGATGATGGACGACAGTGAAGCCGGCCCCCACTCCTGCTACACCTTCACCCTGGTCCTGCTGCTACTGCTGACACACACCACCACACCAGCAGGTAGGTGTTGTTGTGTCTACACCCTGTTCCTGGTCCTGCTGATACACACCACCACACCAGCAGGTAGGTGTTGTTGTGTCTACACCTTGGCCCTGCTACTGCTGACACACACCACCACACCAGCAGGTAGGTGTTGTTGTGTCTACACCTTGGCCCTGCTACTGCTGACACACACCACCACACCAGCAGGTAGGTGTTGTTGTCGCTACACCCTGTCCCTGCTACTGCTGACACACACCACACACCAGCAGGTAGGTGTTGTTGTCGCTACACCCTGGCCCTGCTACTGCTGACACACACCGCCACACCCAGCAGGTAGGTGTTGTTGTCCTACACCCTGGCCCTGCTACTGCTGACACACACCACCACACCAGCAGGTAGGTGTTGTTGTACTACACCTGGCCCTGCTACTGCTGACACACCACCACACACACCAGCAGGTAGGTGGTGTTGTCTACACCCGGCCCTGCTACTGCTGACACACACCACCACACCAGCAGGTAGGTACACCCTGGCCCTGCTGGCAATAAACCCTGACACACACACCACCACACCAGCAGTGTGTGTTGGGTTGCTGCTGACACACACCACACACCCAGCAGGTAGGTGTTGTTGCCCTGCTACTGCTGACACACACACCACCACACCAGCAGGTGGGTGGTGTTGTCTTCACCCTGGCCCTGCTACTGCTGACACACACCACCACACCAGCAGGTAGGTGTTGTTGTCGCTACACCCTGGTCCTGCTACTGCTGACACACACCACCACACCAGCAGGTAGGTGGTGTTGTCGCTACACCCTGGCCCTGCTACTGCTGACACACACCACCACACCAGCAGGTAGGTGGTGTTGTCGCTACACCCTGGCCCTGCTACTGCTGACACACACCACCACACCAGCAGGTAGGTGGTGTTGTCGCTACACCCTGGTCCTGCTACTGCTGACACACACCACCACACCAGCAGGTAGGTGTTGTTGTCACTACACCCTGGCCCTGCTACTGCTGACACACACCACCACACCAGCAGGTAGGTGTTGTTGTCGTAGCCCTGCTACTGCTGACACACACCACCACACCAGCAGGTAGGTGTTGTTGTCACTACACCCTGGCCCTGCTACTGCTGACACACACCACCACACCAGCAGGTAGGTGTTGTTGTCACTACACCCTGGCCCTGCTACTGCTGACACACACCACCACACCAGCAGGTAGGTGTTGTTGTCGCTACACCCTGGCCCTGCTACTGCTGACACACACCACCACACCAGCAGGTAGGTGTTGTTGTCGCTACACCCTGGCCCTGCTACTGCTGACACACAGGTGTTGTCACAACTTCGCATAAACACACTAACAACCTCACCAACACCACCTAAAAGCAACAACAGCAACTAAAACAAATAACTTAAGACACTTTCCTTAAAACATGATATAATAGCTGTCCCTACAAAACACTTAACACTGATAATACTGTTGTTTTACCCTTTAGAGGTCTTTCGTATCAGCGCCATTTCATAATAATATATTTTGTCCCCTATAGTTGTTTCGTTCCGTTTTACAATAACACTGAAATTACTACTAAAACATATGGCACACGAAGCAAACGTTAGATGGTTACTGTGGGCAGCACTAAGATGTACAGTACAGTCACGGAAAAACGGCCTGTCAGTCCTCTGTTCAATCCGTGAGCCCTGAGACTCAGGAGTCTTTGAATCCGAGACATCACTGAGTGCACCATCTTTGGACCCAACAATATGTGATGTCTCGGATTCATAAGTTCATGAGTCTCAGTTCAGAGGAACGAGAGGATTTTTTCCGCGACTGCACTCATGATAGATAGATAATATTCACTAAAGAACAACCTAACGTTACCACTCTCTTAAATACTATACCTTTTATTCAGTTAACTGTGCAGCCAATGTTAACGAAAATTTGATTCCTTCATTGTATCATTTATTGTATCGCTTCACTGTCTGTCCCACTGTTTATAACCAAATAAAAACACAGTCCACAGTCATTTTACTGATACAGCCAACTGTGATGTTTCTTTGCCAGATTCATCATCCTAGATGGTAAAAATTTTCCCTTGCATTTTGAGATAGCTTTTTCGTTGGAATCTGCATTTTTCTTCAATGAGTAGACGGAGGTGTATTTCGAGGAGGTTAGACTGGTCCTGCAACATGTTGATACAAATGTAGAATGGTAGTTTGGTTTTCCTTTTCTTGAACGGAGTCAGCGGTGCCATCCCTCAACGTCGTTGTTGGATTTTTTTTTTTTAATAATTTGCCCCGCACTCGTGCATTAAGGGCGTAAAAGCCTGAAGGACCATAGGTTTTGCCAGCAAGTTACATAAAGCGACAGAATGATGAGTGTGTGGGGGGAAAAATTCCCGGTACAATTCATCTGTTTATGGCAAAGCGTGGCAGGTCCCTAATAATGTCAAGTGCCAGGCCTGTCGTTGGTTCTCACAGCGACGATAAACGCTCCAGTGGCTAAGAGATCAAGTAGTGATGTTAATCCATGTGTCGAAAATGCGTGTCATAAGCTGCTGCAGTTTCACACGGTCAGCTTTAGCACCATGTGACAAGAATGCCAGTGCGGATATACACCTTAGCAAACTGTTAGTGGGCAGTACGTTAGCCAGTTTCTTGGTATTCTCTCCAGATGCCTTAAAGGCTCATTAAAAAGAACAGCCATGAGTCACTAATTCGTGCAACTGTCTCCGGTAGAAGTGTATATTGACACTGTATGACAAACATTTATTTGATCGTGTGTATTGGTGTTGTTTCCGTCTACTTCCACTGGTATAGTTGGTATGGTGATATGGCACAGTAGAGCACCACGGGCACTACCGGGGTGATGACGGCGATGGTTACTGTTGATGGTCAGGTACTGTAGTGTAGAGCGGTGCTGCTGGCAGTGGTTTACATCTTCAGTCATTTTTCTTGAATTTAGCAACGTTGCCTGTAGGTCTTGATATATCTGTACTGCACTTTCTGGCAGCCATCACACAGCAGTGCTTCTTGTCTCCGGCGAACTAACTGATTGCAGTATTGGCATGGTGTATACAGTATATCTCCATTTTGATGGGTAAAGTTTGGTAGACAAGGAATGGGTGTGTCTGCCTTGATGTGCGCCTGTCACTCTCAGGCTTCTGTGCGACTAACAACAGAATATACAGCCATATGACTCTTGATAAACTTAACGAAAACGATTCAGAAAAGATTTAGGAAATGATTGAGTGTAAACAGAAGTTGCTTCGTATGGACCAATAGGCCTTAGGTAAATGTTCTTCGTATGTCTTTGTAACGTCTATAAGCTGTCGATAAGATGCATCTAACGTATGGATTGATGCGGTTACAAAATGACGCAGTTACCTTAACACCTTAGTACGAAATATAGCAGGTAAACATTCCACTACCTTCTATTTTATCAAGCGAGGCGATAACAATCTGCTCTATCAATCTCTGGCAGTCAAACAATGTGGCGCCATAAGGTCAACTCACTGTGGCATTTGGGGGTAAATTACGCAGAAGCGCCACAAATGATGCCTCAATCGTTACCGCGTTTATATGGTTCTCTTGGGTGATTAACAGTAGGAATTACAGATGATTATTAAACAACCCAGGTTATTTCACCTGATGATTACTGTAAATACCCTAACACTACCTGGGGTATATAATAGATTATATTTGGTTAGGTTAGGTTAGTTAGCACTAGGTGATGTTGGGTTAGAGTTAAATTAGGTTGGGATATGTTAATTTAGATTTGGTTAAGTTAGGATAAGTTAATTCAGAATAAGTTAAGTTAGCTTAGGTTAGATTAGATTAGGTTAGGTTAGGAGATTATTAAGTTAGATTAGTTTAGGTTACTATAGGTTAGGTTAGGTTAGGATGTTTAATTATTTGGTGAAATAAGCTGGGTGTATAATTCCCAGGTGATCTGTAATTACTGCCAGGTCTATTTTCACAATGGGAATATTTGGATCCATCTGTAGCTCAGGAAGAGGAACTATTATTAGTGTAAACGGATAGTAGGGCAGGGATTTGGATTGGAAACACTAGGGTGGTATTGGGTGGGGGAGGGATTGGTTTAGAACAAGGAAATTAAAGGTAAAAATGAAGGAAAGTAAGAAAGAGAGTATCCGAGTTCAACCAGATAAGATCCGCCATTAAGTATATGAAGGAGGTAAGCCACAAAGGTAGATTACTCTCATGAAACATGTTTTAGGTATTATAAGACTCAGGGTAACTTTGTTGGCAGTAAGCTTTGACACTGAGGGCTGTCTTCTTGATGCCTCTAACTTTGTCTACAGTAAACTTTGACACTGAGGTTGTCTTGATGATTCTTAACTTTGTAAGGCGACTGGACCACATTATCACAGCCGTCATCAATGTTTATTACTGTAATTCTCCATCAAAGACAAAACTGTTCTATATACATCAGTCTTGTATGACGATTTGACAACAGTATTTAAACTTCCTTGATTGGATTATGCAGTTCAATTCTGGTTACCGTACTACAGAATGGATATCGAATCCCCAGGAGGCATACAGAGGAGGGTGACAAGAATAATCTCGGGCATTAGGAACATTGAGTAAAGAAACAGATTAAAGCATCTTAATTTGCACTCCCTCTGGAGACATAGAGTGAGAGGCGATATGGTCGAGGTGTATAAAAGGAAGGCAGGGTTAAGCAAAGGTGGTATAACAAATGTACTTAAATTATCCAGCCAGGAGCGAACTTGTAGCAATGGTTTTAAATTCGATAAATTTATTATAAGGCGTAAGATAGGTAAATTCTGGTTTGGAAATAGAGTAGTGGATGACTGGAACAAGTTACCAAACATCATCATTAACTCGAATACGCTGGGTAATTTCAAATATTGGTTGGACGGATATATGAGCGATAGAGGTTGGGTGTAAACGGGACTGCCTAGTTTGGGCAGTTTCCCCCGGTCTAATGTTCTTATTCGCCTTCTCAATCTTATTTGAGTTGAAA